AAAAAAAGATCACAGCAGCCTGGGCAAAGGTCTGCTGCGTGTTCTGCAGAGTCTGAGTCAGCCTTATCCTCTTCTTTCTTGAGGGCCCTTCCGGTCTCCAGTGGGCCCAGGGCCCAGCTCCATCCATCTTAGGCTACCCTGGTCCTGCTGTGGGAGCAGTTGAATTTCTACAGACACTAGTTTCCCTGGAGTCTGAATTAAGCCAGGATGTGAGAGCTCACTAGGCATTAGAGACCATCCATTCCAGCCCCTGATACTACAGAGAAGAAAACTGAGGCAAGAGGGGGGAGTGACATGCACTGAGATCTCACATGGTCAGTAGTGTAGCTGGCCTTAGAACCTGGGGCACTCCCCAGTGTACTGCCCTCTGCTTGAGACGCCTGGGGCCTCAGAATGCTGAGTGTAGCCCCAGCAGGTCTGGGCTTAGATACGTGACAAGCTGCAGAATCCTCCAGTTTGTCTCATTTTCTAGCCGTAGGATGGGTTCAGGCCAGGAATGGAGAGAGCATTCAGACCAATCCCAGAGGATGCACTCTCCCCTCTCACTGCTGGACTTCAGCTCCCGCTAGGCTCTGGCAGACCAAGCCCCTACCCCAGGCCGCTATTTAATTATTGGAGACTTTGGGGGCGGAATGAGTCGACAGCACTGCTGGCTCCATGCCAGTACCTATACCTGCCGACCCAGGCCTCCTACACTCAAGGACACACTTCCTGCTCCTCATTCCAACTTCCTGCCCCTCTGCCTTCTCATCTTCCATTAACACTTTATTTTCATGCATTTAAGACTCCAAACACAAAAGCCAGAAGAGGAACAAAATAGGGGAAGTAGGGAATTTATCCCCACCTGTGCTTAAGAAGAGGGTATGAACTTAGGGCTTTTCCACTAGTGGGCAGGGGGTGGTCCCAAATAGATCTGTGCTCAGAGGTAGGCTCTCCTCCACCCCCCTACTCTGCTGATCTGGTGGCGAGTGATGGCAAGAACTGGCACCTACCCAGGAGTATGATGTCACACCCACGCCAGCGTCTGCCAGCTGGGCTCTGCGCCCAGCCTGGCATTGGGGCATCACTACCCGGCAGCCCCTCGCCCTGCCCCATCGGGGCTCAGGCATTATGACTCTGCAGGCCTCAAGCCCCAACCCCCTGGAAACAAGTCCCAGGAAGGGGGAGCCAGAGCACTGGAAGATCCAGACCAACCAAATAAGTCCAGAAGGACTCCCAGAGCCTGGGGTGGTCTGCTTGGGCTCTGGTGTTGGGAAGGTGGAATGAGGAATCTGAACGTCAGCCCTTCCTGCTCAGACAATCACTTGGACTGGAAATGAGGGCTTTGCTCTATGCTCCGACCAAAGCCATAGACTACCCTGGAGTTGCTGCTGGCCCGGGAGGCCTGATGATCTGTAGGTGGAGGAGGAACCTCTGGGCACTGTTCTGGCTGAAATGGGCAGAACTGGCAGGGGCTACAGAGCTATACACCACCTACTCACTCCTGTGGCTGCCCTTTTGCTTGGGAGTCCCTCAGGCTTGATGGGCACAGTTTGGGGGCCTGGAATCCATCCTTCTCAAAAGCTGCAGGCTTCCAGGACTATGGGGCTAGAAGTCAGGGACTTTAGTTTTCGTTCCTCGTCTGCCCTTAGCTTGTTGTGTGACTGTTGGCAAGCCATGAAGAGTGAAAACACACACTTCTCTTTATGACTGTTTCTTTCCCAGGAATATTGCTGCTTGCCCTCCCCACAAGGTGACAAGGAACAGAAGTGGTCACATTCTGGGGAGTAAAAGAGAGAGGAAGAGCATTAGTTCATGAAGTGTCTTTGATATGTGGGCCTTTGGGGCCTTGTTTGGGCAGGAACCCCCTGCCAGTAGCAGCTACAGGAGCCTCATGGTGCCCACTGGCCCCAGAGCCCAAGTCTCAACCTGTGCTTGGAATTCCCTGGCCGCCTGTTCCTCCCTGAGAGAAGGCCTGGGTTCAGGTCCCAACTCCACTTCTTACCAAGTCACCTCATCTCTCAGAGACATTAAATGGAGGTGTGACTCCTACCTCCCAGACCTTGTGTGAGGATTAAATGTGTGAGAGCCCTTTGTAAACTGTAAACATCTTGCAAAAGTAGAATGTCAAACTGTTAGTCCCTTCAATTAAGAAGTGACTGCCTTTTATTCTACCCTGCCGGGCCTTCTCAGGGTCACTCTGCCCTTTATGCATGGCCACAGCAGCTCCTCCCTCCCCAAGAGTGCAGTTGGTGACCCCAAGTTGTCAGAGGGGGATAGGGAGTTAAGTGCTGACTGCATGAGTGGGGAGCGAGCCTTCAGTTCCACTGGTCCTCACGCCTTGAGCCTGACCTATGGTCCTCAGGCTAGACTTCCCAGAGCAGTCCTGTTGTTTGGAGCAATACATTTGACATATTTCCTTGGTATATTTTCAGAGTGCCTGCCTGGGGCTCTGTTAGGTGTGGCAGGGGATAAGAGAACAGAGATGTCTAAGAGTATGTCCTTGCCCTCTAGGAGGTCATGTCTAGCCCTGTTCTGGGAAGAGCCTCCGCCACTGTGGGAGAAGAAGCAGGGCTGCCTTGATGGGTGTGCTGGGGGTCCCAGAACTGCTCCATGGCTGGGAGTGCCAGCAGCTGAGGCCAGCAGACTGGGTCACCTCTGGGTGCCCCAGCTTCAGCCCCAGTCCTAGCTGTCAGCCTTACCCAGCTGCCTCTGATGAGACTGCTCAGGGCAGGGCTGTGCAGAGGGTGTGGGGGAAGAGCAGTGAGTGTGCAGCCAGCACGGACGTCAGAGCCAGCTCCGGGCCAAGGAATGGGGTTGAAGGATGTGTTTGCCCAGTGCTAATTGAGGGCACAGGGAAAGTGGTGGCTACAGGGCTGGAGGGGGGCTCTCATTACTCAGTGGGATGGACAGGAGAGCTGGAGATCATATGGTCACTCCCAAGTGGCCCAGTTAGTGTGTGTTTGCTAGAAACCATCACGCCACCATAACTGACAGAGGCTCTGTAAATAGCGGTGATTTCTGTCTTGGTTTATGGGTGTGGGTTTCTGACTAGTGCTGCTTGGAGCTGGGTGTCTGTGCAAGTGAGGGGAGGGGAAGTGGGTGCAAAGGCCTGAGGGAGAAATGGCTACAATACCTATTGCCAGCTCAATCTGAGATTGTGAATGGGGAAGTCTGGGTTTACCTGATTGTGCTAAGAAGTGACCAGGACTCTTCCTTGTGGGGACTCTTACCAGCTCAACCAGTCATCTTCCTGCTGGGACCATTTGAGCACTCGTGTTTTAGAAAAAGAGTTATTCTTTCTGTTCTCCACAAATAGAACTCCCCAAAACCAAGGTGAAGGACATGGCCAGAGTCTTACCTTGGGCTGAGGGAAAAAAACCCAGGGTTCCTTACCATTCTACACATGATCTATTCATCGTGTGGTGTCCTGGAAAGAACACTGTCTAGGAAATCAAGCCACCTGGTTCTTGCCTTGGCCCTGCCACTTACTGGTTATGTGAGGTCCTGGACCTTCATTTCCATACCTCTAAAATAAGAGGTTTGGATGGAATGATCTGGAAGGCATTTCTAATTCTGATAGTCTGTGGTTCTTAGCCCCTGGCACCTTAGAGTCTTTTTCCTCTATCTGCGGTTTCTCACTCTGACTTCCCTTTATTGCTCAATGCAGAGTTCTTAGTCCCTGGCCTGCTCAAGGCTGCTCATCCCAGTTTCTAACAGGACGCATAGGAGGTATCACCATCCTTGGAGGGAGGTGACACCATCCTTAAGGCAACAGGAGGGGAATAGCCATTTGCCCCAGAATTAAGCCCTTGGGCTCAGGGTGCCAGAGCCTCATTCGGGGACTTACCTCCCCTCCTTGGAATGGCAGCCTGTCCCCAGGAGGTGTCCTGACTATACCCATGTACCCTGCACAGGGTCCCTGATGGGTCTAGGTGACATTATCTCACAGCAGCTGGTGGAGAGGCGAGGTCTGCGGGAACACCAGACTGGCCGGACTCTGACCATGGTCTCTCTGGGCTGTGGCTTTGTGGTAAGTTCTGCCCACAGTAGGGCTGCTGGTGGATTGGACAGTGGTCTTAGTTCCATGTTATCCTTTAGTTTCCCTTGGCCTCTCTCACATCTGAGCCAACCTCAAGTGTCTGCTTCCCCTGGGATTTGGTTTCTAATACTCGAGGAGGAACTTTGTGATGTAAAAGCCAAGTGCTCCTTTTGCCACCTCCCTGCTCCCCTCTCTGGGGTTTACTTTCAGGGCCCTGTAGTAGGAGGCTGGTACAGGCTTTTGGACCGGCTCATCCCGGGCACCACCAAAGTGGATGCACTAAAGAAGATGCTGTTGGATCAGGTGAGCAGAAGGAAAAGGGAGTTGAGAAGGGTGAACTGTGCTGGGGGTGGGTCGAGGGTTAGGTACTCACAGCGCTTTCATTTCTCTTCCCTAGGGGGGCTTTGCCCCGTGTTTTCTAGGCTGTTTCCTCCCACTGGTAGGAACACTCAATGGATTGTCAGCCCAGGACAATTGGGCCAAACTCCAGCGGGTGAGCTGGGCAGATGTGGGGAAGATCTCTGGCTTGCAGACTGGCAGGCCCAGGGGAATGAGGCAGGCTTCCGGGGAATGAGAAAGGTGAAGCGCAGCTGGATCTCAGGCTCTGGAGGAGAGGAGCTGAGGCGGGTGTGGTGCAGGAGTGTGTTCTTTGAACAGAAGTCTGTGTGTGATATTCAGACTGGGAGGTGGGAGCTGCTTGGAAATGGAAGTGTTAACTTGTTCCTTCTCTGTCTCCTCAGGATTACCCTGACACCCTCATCACCAACTACTATGTAAGAGCTGACACCTCAACTGCCTGTTTTCCTGCTTCCTTGAGTCCAGAAGTGCCCAGGGATTGGGGTCCTCCTGACAGAGAAGTCCCTGAGACATCCCTCAGTTGTTCCCTCATTCCCAGTGTGGGAACATCCTCAGGGAAGCGCTCACCCAGTTGTTCAATTTGTTCTTGTCTGCAGAAGTTGGAATAAGACTAGACCAGGCAGTGAGTCTGGGGGTCAGGTGATGGAGTCAGCCCCCCAACATTTACATTCTCTCTCTTGTAGCTCTGGCCTGCTGTGCAGTTAGCCAACTTCTACCTGGTCCCCCTTCATTACAGGTATGACAGATCCCTACCCCACCCTTCAAGGAAGATCTGCATTATGAACAGTTGTAGATGAAGTGATATTCATTTCAACCTTGAACTTCTTTAGACCCCGTAGAACCGTGTGTCCTGATCAGAGCTCCTCAGACTCTAGCATTTTATTCAGAACTTCTTACCCATTACAGAACCTGTCACAGAGTGTCTGCCCACTGACCTTCATCTTCCTAGGGAGGATCCTGCTCCACAACCCTGGTCTCCATCCCACCTGAGCTCTCTACCTTTGCTGTAGGGACAGCGCCTGGGGTGCTATGGCCTAGGTTAGACAGAAAGATAGACCAAAGAGCCAAGTAGGAACCTCGTCAGGTTACTCCACTGCAAAGTATTATTTTACCCTAATAATAAAACTAATTGCTGAAACCACAATAAAAATATAGTGGAATTCAAGATGAGTAGTTAAAATTATTGGAGGTGAGGAGGGCTTTGAGAACAGGGAAAAATATGAAACTCTTCAGAGGGGATGTGGTCAAAATTTACATGAATAGCATAGCTATAAGGAATCTAGATTTATGAACCAAAAATCTTAAACATTAGGGTCCTTGCAACTTTTTTGAAACTAAAGCAAGAAAACTAAAGCAAGGAAAATTTAAAATAAAGAGAAGGAGGTGCTACTTTGCATGGCAGATAGTACATTTTTGGAAGATGATATCTCCTCAGCTGGTACAAGACAGACAGATACGTGTATTTAGAAGGAGCCCGGACAGGGGTATGGATAACGGCCATGTGGCAAGGTGGCTACTGAGGGTATTTAACTTTGAGGCTCTTGTCCAGGAGACCGCTCTGGGACAGCACCAGAACCTGAGCTGGTTGTCCTCTGGTCTGAGCCATACGTCCTTCTATAGGGGGCTGAAGGAGGGAGACCTAAATCTCGGCATTCTCGGAGATAATCCCTCCTTTTCCATTGCACTTTCCCATCTCTTCCCCCTTGCTTGCTCTTCATTCTTCCTCTTCTCCACGATGCCATTCCTGTTCCTTAGGTTGGCTGTTGTCCAGTGTGTTGCTGTTATCTGGAACTCCTACCTGTCCTGGAAGGCACACCGGCTCTAAGTCTGCCTCTCTCCATTGTTTCCGCCTTGCAGTGACGCAGCTTGACTCGAGAATGGTCAGACAACCTCCTCAAAGAGGGCACATCATTTTCACAGGGTTAATTTGCTAGTCAGAACTTAATGGGGTTAGCGCTATTAAGTGGCCCATTTCACTCTAAAATGTAAACTGACTCCTTTTGAAATCACTAAAACCTTTATAATAGTCTTATACCCACCACATCCATAAATATTTGTTGAACCATATGATCTTGTCAAGTTTAGTTTACACCCATATCCTGACAAATGCCACTCATCCCCACTCTTCATAGACACATCTGTTTCTCTAACCCTTCCCATCCCTAGTGTAGCTCCAGTTCTTTGGGGACCCTCTCAAATTCTTTATATGGTACCACTGTAAATATGTCATTAAATATGTAACCTGGAACCTGCAGAGGCAATGAGTAAGACTAACAGAAAACTACTGGGGAGTCAAAATTTCTAGAGCTAGAAAGAAGCCTAGAGACTACCAAACTTAATATTCTTTTACAGATGAGGACATTGAGGTCCATAGAAATGAGGTGCCTATCCACACCACAAGTTACTGGCAGATTAGAAACTTGAACCTATGTGCTATAGAGTGAATGTTTGAATACCCCCCAAATTCATATAGTGAAAACTTAATGAGCAAGGTGATGGTATTAGGAGGTGGGCCTTTGGGAGGTGATTAATACCCTTGTAAAAGAGGCTATGTGTGGACACAGCAAGTAGGTGCCATCTATGAACCAGAAGGCAGGTCCTCACCAGACACTGAAACTACCTGTACCATGATCTTGGACTTCCCAGCCTCCAGAACTGTAAGAAATAAATGTCTGTTGTTTATAAGTCTCCCAGTTTATGGTGTTAGAGCATCTCGAATGGACTGAGACACCAGGTTTCCTTACGTCCTACCCAGTGATCTTAACCTGGAGGTCAAAGATACAGTAATGCTGCTGCTGTGATTCCCAGGAGAAAAATTAACTTGGCTAAACTACCACTTTGGGACAAACTGAGAAGCAGATGATCCAGCCTTTTGTGGTCTGAAAGCACCCTGGGGCCTCTTTTTATGGTGCCTCAGTCAGACAGCCCTAGAATTGAAATCCTGGCGCTGGAATAAGATCAAGAATCCTGGCAGACTCAGGCTGCCTCAGCTGCGTCTTGGGGGGTACCATGTGGTAGATGAGTGCCAGCTGTGTGCTCCTGATTGTCTCAGTTTACAGAACTGATAGCTGGGACAAGGGACTGGGTCTGAGCAGCACAGCGTTCTCGCAGTGCCTCTGGCCCCTTCTAGAGGCAGAGGACACCTTCACCGTCAGCACCACGGACAGCCCCGCGGGTCAGCCTCCCTTTCTTGTACCAGAGAAGACTGGAGATCCAGACTAGTCTAGTCTGGGGACCGGCTCCTAGTCACTGCTGGCTGTTATAAGCGGGTGAAGGACTCTTGTGGCTCCCAGAGCAATCTTTACGCTCCAGCCAGCTTCTCGCCCTCTTGAGTCCGGTGTTGCTTCCAGCCCTAGCCCCACAGACGGGAAGTCTCGTGTCCCGTGGCGTGCCCCTTGGGGTCTTGCAACTGGCTGGACTGGAAGCTGCGGCCGTCATTGCTCTACAATCAGTGCATGTTCCTCGCTGACGTCAGTCTGAGCTGTCCTGGCGCTATATAAGGCTGGCGGCGGTCCCGGGACAGACCCCGTGTTCCCCAAGGCGCCTTCAGCCCGCCCCGAGGGACGAGACTGGAGCTCCGTCCTGCACCATGCAGACGCTCTCCGGTAACCTGTGAGTGGCTGGGAGCGTCCGCCCGGGCTCCCTTAGCACCGGGACCCTGCGCTCAGCTCACCCACGGCGACCCGCCAAGAGGGAGGGAGGGAAGAAAGGGTGGCACAGGACTGGGCAGCGGCTGGGGCTGGAGGGAATGTGGTGGGCACCGGGAGGCAGCCGCAGGGGCCCGGCGGGGGCGCTGGACATACGCCGGAAGGAGAGTGGCGCCACCTGCGACTGCCCCAGGCGCAGCTCACCCTGCGCTGCTCCTGTGTGTCCAGGGCCGGTGGCACCATGAGGCGGGAGGGACGCGCGGCGCTGCTGGCGGTGCTGCTGCTCCTGGCACAGCTGCGCTCGGGGAGCAGCCAGTGGAACCCGGAGGCGGCGGAGGCCGGGGTCCAGGACCCGAGTCTGCGCTGGAGCCCCGGGGGGCGGAACCAGGGCGGCGGAGTCCGCGCGCTCATCTTGCTGTTGGCGGAGCGCCTCCCGCGCCGCGCGGGACCTCGGCGATGGGGATCCGTGACCGCGGACGAGCGGCCGCGACGGGACGACCCTCCGCTGTCCATTGACCTCACTTTCCACCTGCTGCGGACCCTGCTGGAGTTGGCGCGCACGCAGAGCCAGCGAGAGCGCGCCGAGCAGAATCGCATTATATTCGACTCGGTGGGCAAGTGATCCGCGGGACCCCGAAAACTTCGACCTCCATTGCCCACCCCCGGGCCGGGACGTGCGTGACCGGAACTGACTCAGTCCCGCTGCACTAGAACCGCCCAGGGATACCCTCAGCACTCTCCGCGTTACTAGTTTTTAATAAAAGTGCTGAAGAGCCTTTGCCTCTGTTTTGAGGGCGCGGGGAACCCCGGCAGGGTGGGAACCTGTGGGAAAGTGGGGCCTCCCAGGCCGGCTGGAGGGAACCAGGTGCTGCAGGAGGGCTCCGCGAAACGGCTTTCAGCCAGGGTCCTGTGGTCCCCATTGTCTTCAAGTCCCCCAGGAACTCAAGTCCTGGTGCCGCTGCACCATCCCGACCCTTTTCCCTTGGCACTGGGCTTGCGAATCCGTGCCTGATATCAAGGAGGTGGCCACCTGGGGTTCATTCCACTTCCGCCCCCCCAAATAGTCCCAGATCCGGAGAAGGGCGGGATGGTGATGGGGTCGCCTCTAAGCAGAGGCTGAGCGAGCGAGCAGTGAAAGGCGCTGCGGTCGGGACGCATTAGCCCTTTATTGAGCCCCTCCCCGCGCGGGGCGCCGAGCTGAGTGGCGCGGTGGTCCCTGCGCAGATCCTCCGCGAAGCGAGCGACCTGCCCTGGGTGCGCGGGCTCCGGGAGCGGGTCAGTGCGGGCCTATGCCTGGGAAAGAAAGCTCGGTGGGCGGGCGCTCAAAGGAATAAGTAACTCCGAACCCAGCTCACCCCCTTTTTCCAGCTGCGTGGATTTTTCCTTCACTTTCCCACCCAGCCTGGTTTTCCAAAGCCCCAGAGGAATGGCTGGTGGGCAAGACAATGTCCTTCTGCACGCGCGCTAGGGGGCGCTCCTCTCCCGCTGGGAGTTGGCAAGCACTTAAAAGGAGTGAGGGCTACAAGCGGTCCCTGCTGCAGCAGGGAGGACAATTCACGGAGGGGGGGACAGGAGAGTACCAGCCAGTCCCCGCCATGCCCCTCAGGCCACACTCACCTTCCGGCCGATCTGGCCGCTCTTCCTCAGGCCCTGCGCTGCCCTCTTCCCCGTCCAACGCCACCTCTTCATCCTCTTCCTCCCTGGAAGCGCCTGGGCCGAAGGAAGGCCTCCTGAGCTGGAGTCTCTGCTTCTCTGGCCGTCATACCCCGCCTGGCCCCTACCCGAGGGTCTGGATGCCCAGTCCCAACGGCCTGCCGGCCCCTCCCATCCTTGCCCCCTCACCCGGCTGGAAGTCGATGGTCCTCAGCATTTCGGCCACGTGCTCCACGCTCACGGTGAATTGCTCCATGCTTTCATAGCCCGGCTCCGGCCGTCCAGCCAACTCCACCTTCGACATTGTCCCGACCCTGCGGCGGTGGCAGCGGCTCATCTGGACACGCCCCAACACCCCCCCCCCCCATGGCAGTGGAGCCCCGCGGCCCCTTCCTTTCCCTTCCCGCTCCGCCTACTCACTTATTGATCAGCTCCTTGGCCTGCTGCAGGGAAGAAAGGAGGGTGAGAGTAAGCACTGTGCCAACCTCTGGCAAAGTCTCATTTCTGACGCCCACCACAGTCCTGCGCAGGAGGTGGGGATGCATACCCCAATTCCTTAAGGAGAAAAGGGACTCAGAGAGGGTGACTTGACCCAAAGTCCTGGGGCAAGTAGGTACCAGAGATAAGATCTGTACCCAGATCTCCAGGTGCCCAGGCCCCTACTCCAGCCACTATGCAGCCTGCCACCCTCCCCCAGGGCCCACCTGCAGGTAGAGCGCCATCTGCGGCTCCTCCATGGACTGGATGGCTGACTCCACGAGCTTAGATGAGGCCTCCAAGTGGTCTCCGTATTGGCGAATGAGGCTCCGGACGCACTGCAGCTTTTCCTCCTGCTCCCTGGCCAGCGCCTGCAGCAGCTCACCCTTACGCTCTTCCAGCACCGCGCACAGGGCCTCGAACCTCTGGTTTAGCAACTGCTTCTGCCTCCGGCTGTTGTCCTGAAAGACAGGAGCAAGGACCAAACCTCATATAGTTGAGGGAGCACCCGGTTACTTGTCCTCCTCCCCACTAAATGGAAGTCACAGAGAGCCAAGAAGAAAAGTGACCTGTCCATTATACCACAAGTTAGTGGCAGAGCCAGAACTCCAGCCAAGGGCTGCTGATTCCCAGAGCTTTTCAGTAATAACAATAACACAATATTTTTTTTATTGAGGTATAATTGACATATAACAATATATTAGTTTCAGATGTACAATGTAATGATTCAATATTTGTATATATTGTGAAATGATCACTACAATATGTCTAGTTAACATCCATCACCATACACAGTTATAAAATTTCTTTTTCTTGTGATGAGAACTTTTAAGATCTACTCTCTTTGCAAATAACATGATATTTTAAAGCAGCTTCATAAGTGCTGTCTATATCTCTGGCCCTTGTTTTTACTTGTACTATCTCATTTAATTCTCAAAAAGATCCAATGAGGTAGCCACCATATCATTCTCATTATCATTATTTTATGTAATTAAAAAAAAACAAACCAAAGCACAGAGAAGTTAAGTAACTGAACCAAAGTCACAGAGCTAGTGAGGGGAAGATCTGGGATTCAAACCTGCAGCCTGGCAAAGCACATCCCACTACTTGTGCTCTACTTCCAGAAGCCCAGAAACTTTCCCTCCCTCCCATGCCAGACTCACCTCGATGGTCTGGCACACTTCCTCCATCTGTGTGATCACTGCTTGCACACGATCATTGCCCGCCACCAGCATCGCGATGCCATCACTGAGCTCACTCTGCCACACACACAGGCCAGCACTTAGGGCTGGAGGACCTGGTCTAGCACTGCACCCCTCCCATCCCAGCCAGGGCTGCTGAGGAGAGGACTGCCCCCTCCACTCCACCATCAGGCCATCTTCAGGGCAGCTATTCCAGAGATCTAGAGGGCTTGGAACCACCCAAGAAGCATGGAAGCACATTCTATGGATTCTAGAAGGAGGTGGAGAGGAAGTCCTCCACCACCAAATGAGAAAGGAAGAGACATTCACCAAACATCCACCCAATGCCAGGCACTGGGCTAAATGCTTCATCTGTAGATTCATATCTTCCATCAATTCTGAAAAATTCTTCATGATTATCTGTGAGGATAATATTGCCTCTTCTCCATTCTCTTTATTCTCTCATTCTGTGACTCCAATTAGATATATGTTAGACCTTCTCATCTTGCAGTGCTGCATTCTAGGCCATTTTTTCAGTCCCCTCTTCCTGTTCACTAATTCTCTCTTCAGAGAAATCTCTCATTTAATTCATCCTTTGAATGTTTTATTTCAACACTTATATTTTCATTTCTAAAAGCTCTATCTGGTTCTTTGTCAAATCTCCATTTTTGATCATCTATTATTGCTTTTTATAAAAACTTTGTCTTTTTTTTAGAGCATTTTATACACAGTGACTTTCTATTCTTTAATAATTCCAATATCTGAATTTCTCAGAGGTCTAAATCTATAATTTTTGTTTCTGCTGATGTCACTCATGGGGTACATTTCTTTGTGTATCTTCTACTGCGAGCTAATTTGTTTTTGTTCTTAATCTAAGGAAAATCCAAAGGCCTAAATTGAGGGGTTTTTTCCTCCAGGCAGAATTTGCATTTGCTTTTGTCAAAAGGCAGGTGGCACAACTGACAACTTTAGTTCCTGGGATCCCAGTTTAACCTGAGATTCTTGGAGGTCTTCACTGCAGGTCCCACACCTTTTAGGGGTTTGGAGGCATAGTCTCATCTCTTTAGCCCAGTAATAATGCCAGCATCTGCCCTCTGGGAAATCCTGCCTTTTCTGTGCTTACCACTCAGGGTTCTCTTTTCAGCTCATTCCTCGCTCCTCCTCTCCCCACCCCACTCCTACTTGGAGATTTCCTTTACTTCCTTTGTGCCTTCCAATATCATTTTTAAATTATGTTTTATGGAGAATCTAGTTGTGTGATAGGGAGAGGGCCTTGACAGTATCTAGTCCACCACACTGAAGTCTCTGCTTGCATCCACTGTCTCATTTTATCCTTACAACTCTGAGAAGCAGGCATTTTCTTCCTCATTTTACAAGTAAGGAAAGTGAGCACCAGAGAGGTCAAGTGATTTACCCAAGGTCACACACTGAGTCACGCATAGAGCTAGGACTTTAGCTCTGATCTGCCTGCCTTTAAAAACCAAGTGGAGTAAGAGGCTGAGTTTGAGACCCTGTCCTATGTCCCTACCCCCACATGCCTGCTCCCTCTGCTGTTTGATACCTTCTGGCGTTTGTAAATGGTGGGCAATGGGGCCACCTCACAGTCCTTGTGGGCACCGAAGACCTTGCAGAGAGAGCAGGTGGGCACTTCACAGCTCAAGCAGTAGATATTGATCTTCTCATCTTCATGCTCCTCGCACATGAGGTGCTGCTCAGCCTTGGAGTGTAGTGGCCTGGAGGGGAGTGGGCAGGGTGGCAGGAGGGTCAGGGTCCAGGCCGAGGGAAGGTGGGCCTGCAGAGTTGGGGGGGCCCCATGAACACCTTCTCTTCAGCCTCCACCAACCACCACCACCACCACCTTCTCTGCCCCTGCAGCTGGTGCTGTGGCTGGGCAGGTGAGTAACTTCCACAGTGCTCTTCATTTGAGGAATAGAAAGAGCTAAGGGGTAGAAGAATCTTAGATCCAAGAATAGTCTCTATTCCAGGAGGCAGGGAAATCCCACAGGGCGGGAAGTCATGGAGGGTTGGCAAGGACCTTGCTGATGGACTGCCAGCCCCTCCCCAGGGGGAGAGAGTGAAGGTGAAGCATTGACCAGGAATCAGAGATCACCTGAGCTGGGTGACCTGGGACAAGTGCCTCCCCATCTTTGGGTCTAATCTTCTTATCTCTAAACTGAAGGGGCAGGCTGATTGTTTCAGCCCCTCCCTTCTGGCCCTGATGGGTTCCCCCACTGTGTTCCAGGCTCCACCCTTTAGAAAGACAAGAGGCCCTGACAGCTCACCGGGAAGATTCCTGCTTATAAATGTCGATAATGTTCTCCACTAGCAGGTTTCTCTGCAGTCCGTAGACACCATGTCGGTCCAGAAC